GTTGCACGTGACTGGGAGACCTGCCTGTGCTCCTCACAAGTTGTGCTAGGCATTAACAAAGGATCTTGGATTCTCAGGACCTCCTTTTTTCCATCTACAAAAGGAGAAAGCTTATGGGAGGATATATGTTTTTCTTCACTGGAATACTTTTGTATCATAATATGAGACATTGGGGTTATCGTGGAGGGAGATCAAACTTTAAACACCTAAACTTGGCAGACATTTGCTTCACAACTATTGTATATCAGACCACTAAGGCATTAAATGCGATAATATGCACTGGGCATGGTGGCTTAGGTCTGCAGTCCCAGTGCTTTGGGAGGCAGAGGTGGGCAGATCACCTGAGGTCAGGAGTTGGAGACCAGCCTGGCCAACATGGTGAAACCCCGTCTCTACTAAAAATACAAAATTAGCCAGGTGTGGTGGCGCATGCCTGTAATCCCAGCTACTTGGGAGGCTGAGGCAGGAGAGTCGCTTGAACCTAGTCACTTGAATCCAGGAGGCAGAATTTGCAGGGAGCCAAGATCGTGCCACTGCACTCCAGCCTGGGTGACAGAGAGAGACTCCATCTCAAAAATAAATAAATAAATAAATAAATAAATAATAAAATGAATAAATAAATGTGATAATGTGTAAATTGAGTAATTTTCATTATCATTCAGAGATGGAAGCAGTTAATCAGAGGAAGAGAGAGTGACTTGGTATCAGAGATTTCTGTCCTGTCCTTTTTTGCCTGTGTATAACTTTAAACAAGTCACCTAACCCTGCCTGAACTTGGTCTGATTAGGCTCTTTGTGGGGTAGAAATGAGTAATGGGAATGGGGTGGGCAGGCATTGTCATGGGAACAAAGCAAAACTAGAACAATGGACTTTTGAAAGAACAGAATCTGAAAGGTGGTTTTGATCACAAGGCAGCCTCTCAGGGAGGGCCTCTGCTTCTCCTGGTCTTGATGTCCAATTGTCTTCTACTGTTTCGTTTATCTCAGTAGTGTTCAAATTATGTGGTTCCAAGCAAGGTTTTGTTTGTAAAATGGTTTGAACCCATGCCATTCTATTGCATAATTTCTGCTTGCTCATAGCGCTGGCCCCTTCTATGTGTCTGCATCCCTTGCAAGCTGCATTCAGAGTGGCAAGAAAATGGGTGATCAGGCTGGTAACAAGAGAAGCAGGGAGTGGCTGGGACTGTGGCAAACTGGAAACTGCATGTTCTCCCTAAAAGGGAGAAAAAGCACTGCAGAACTAGCCAATTATGGAGTGCAGGTCTGCAGCAAGAATCATGCCGGGTTCCCCAGGTTTTTCAAGGCAAGCTGAAAACTCTGCATTTTCGCATAATGTTTTCTGATTTTAAAATATCGGCAAGCAATTCAAACAATGTTGACCTCATGAGGTTCAAACAATACAATCTAATATATAACATTTAACGGGCTCACAGCCAGTCTGCAGCTTTTAGAATCTAGAGTTCAGATAAAGTCACAAACTTCAGCTTTTGCTCTGCATAATAGTTGTGTGTGTGTGTGTGTGTGTGTGTGTGTTTGTTCACATTCCTGAAATGTAATCTTACTGGCAAAGTGTACTTTTGGGGGCCACAATTTTCACAGGACAAATCTATGGCTTGGATGCACCTGGCTTAGGTGCCCACCCTTAGTCTTAAAGGGGGCTGCCTAAGGGATAGCTACTCTTTCAACAGGAGCCTCTATTGGACTGACTTCCATTTCAGAGGCTGTGGACATGGCAAGCTGTGTATATATCTAATAAAGACCTAGAATTTCCTCCTCAGAAATTAATGTACTGGTTTCTCCTATGAAGATTCTGTTTCTTAATAAGAAAAAGCAATGTCCCATTGACATTTAGGTAGAATTTTGGTGAGAATTTGGGTGGTGACAAGCATCACATATTGGCATTAATGGTCCTTAAGGAGAAGCTCTGATTTCCATGGAAATACTGACTACTTCTCGTCTTAAGAATATTCTGGCTTGGCGTGGTGGCTGTGATCCCAGTGCTCTGGGAGGCCGAGGCAAAGGATCAGTTGAGCCCAGAAATTTCAGGCTATGGTGAGCTATGATTAAGACACTGCAATCCAGCCTCGGCGAGAGAGCAAGACCCTGTTTCAAAAAAAAAAAAAAAAAAAAGAAAAAGAAAAAAAAAAAGAAGAAAAAAAAATATCTGCTTACAAAATGAGAAACTCTTAGGGTTAGAAAAGAATTTAACCTCTTTAAACTTCCCTTTCAGTCCTTCAATACTTTTTTATGGCATGCTCCTATATTGTGAATACTTCTGTTTACCAGGAAGTATGCTTCTTCCACAGGAGCCTCTTTCATCTTTGGATAAGCCTCATGATTAACTTTTTTTTCTTGTTGCACAATGCCCTGCCCACCATAGGCAATCAGTACAGCATATGCTAAATGAGTTCATTTCTATGGCATTTGCTGAGTACATACCATGTGCCAGACACTGTTCTAGAAACTTGGGCAATATCAGTGAATTTTAAAAAATTGGATTTGTTTAACTAAAGCAGTCCCTTATAGAGCCGATGTTCTACCCTGAAAGTAGGAGGTGGTAAAAGAGAGAGAATTCCTTCTTTCCTTTGCTTCCTTCCTTCCTTCCTTCTTTCCTTCCTTCCTTCCTTCCTCCCTCCCTTCCTTCCTTTCTTTCCTTCCTTCCTTCCTTCCTCCCTCCCTTCTTCCCTCCCCCCTCTCTCCTTCCTTCCTTCCTCCCTCCCTCCTTCCCCCTCTTTCTCCTTCCTTCTTTCCTCCCTCCCTCCTTCCCTCCCACCTCTTTCTCTCCTTCCTTCCTTCCTTCCTTCCTTCCTTCCTTCCTTCCTTCCTTCCTTCCTTCTCTCTCTCTCTCTCTCTCTTTCTTTGTCTCAGAGGCTGGAGTGCAGTGGTGTGATGTCACCTCACAGCACCCTCCACCTCCCAGGTTCAATCAATTCTCTGCCTCAGTCTCCTGAGTAGCTGGGATTACAGGCACCCACCACCATGCCCGGCTAATTTTTGTATTTTTAGTAGAGATGGGGTTTCGCTATGTTGGCCAGGCTGGTCTTGAACTCCTGACCTCGTGATCCACCTGCCTCGGCCTCCCAAAGTGCTGGGATTACAGGCGTGAGCCACCACACCCGGCCATAATTTTTTTCTTAAAGTAAACCATACAATATGTTACAAGGTGATAGATGCTATTAAAAAAAAAAAAAAAAAAAAGCAGAGTTGAATGAGGGAGACTGGGAGGGAGGGGCGAATTACAACTTTAAATAGGTGGAATAGGGTAGGTCTCATTGAAATAAGACTTGAAGGAGATGAGAGAGTTAGCAATGTAGAATGGATGTTCCCAAACTGATCTCCTTGCAGCCACGTAGAACTAGCTCCCTTTCCTCTTCCCTGGCCCTGGGGATAATGATAGGAATAATAATAGCTTAATATCCTTTGAACCCCAGCAGGGCTTCTAAGCATTTTTTCTGTTTGAATTCACTAAATCCTCATAGCCACCCTAAGACATAGCTACTACTTTTATCCCCATTTTCATATGAGTAAACTGAGGCACAGCAAAAGTTAAGTAACTTGGCTAATATCCAGAGGATGGGAAGAAGAGGAGCTGCTGTAGAGACCTTGCCATTTTGGCTCCAGGCTTCGGCTCTTAATCCTTCAGACCAGCCTCTTTTACGTCTCCTCCCTGCTCTTTGTCCTCTCAGTTTCTGGCCAGGCACAGTGGCTTATGCCTGTAATCCCAGCGTTTTGGGAGGCAGAGACATGTGGATCACTTGAGGTCAGGAGTTCTACACCAGCCTGGCCAATATGGTGAAACCCTATCTCTACTAAAAATACAAAAATTAGCCGGGTACAGTGGTGCATGCCTGTAATCCCAGCTACTCTGGAGGCTGAAGCATGAGAATTGCTTGAACGCAGGGAATTGGAGGTTGCAGGCAGCCAAGATCATGCCACTGCACTCCAGCCTGGATGACAGAGGGGAGATGTCTCAAAAAAAAAAAAAAAAAAAAAAAAAAATTGTTTCCCAGGGTATGTGTCCCATGCCCAGTCTCTTTCATTGTGTGTGATTCCTGGGATGAAATTTAAAGCCCTTCATCATTCTAGGGCTTCTGTTGAGGATCTTTTAGCTTTACCTAATATCACAGGACAAATGAGACACCCAGAACTTCCTCAACCCGCTCCCATGCCCACAACAACCCTAACACGTAGGTTTTGTAGGGTCGCAATGACCAAATCAAAAAATGAAAATGAGTCTTGCTCAGTTTTGAGATAAAAGGACACGCACATCTTTTTCTTCAGCAAATGTCACTGTGGTTTCAAAGCCTACGTGTGATGTGCGATCGGGCAGCATTTTTAAAGTATTTCCTGCTCAACCATAGGGTGAAATGATGCAAGTAGTGAGTCCTGCAAACAGCTGCACTAAATTCTTAACACCTGCAAAAAAACAAAACAAAACAAAACACACACACACACACACACGAACAGTTTTCAAAATAATTATGCATTGTTTTTAATTTTTGGCTTGTTGGTTTTCTGTGGTATTCAAACTCTGAAGGACCCTCCAATTCATTAAACCTGCAGTTAGAAAATGAGTTTGGGAGCTTTAAAAGAATTTGCAAACAGGGGAAAGATTTCACTTGCATTATGTTTTCATTAATGCACTTGAAACAACTTCTGGAATAGCCCTAGGGACTATTCCTTAAAAAAAATAAAATTAAATTCAAATAATAAAAAAAAAAAAACTTGCAGGCTACAGTCCTCTATTCAGCTCTGCCCTGCTCCTTTCAAGTGAGCCCCAGAATCACCTCTTGGCTTGACGGTTTCCCATTGCGGGGCAGCGGGGCCGGGGGGCTGCACATCTCCCCTTGTGTGAGAGAAACACAAGCACGGAGCTCCCTTGACCTGCATCGTCCTTGGTATTTTTTTTTTTGGTTAAGCCAAAAAAGTTTGGATTTCCTGAAATTGTTGAACTGGATTTAAGTGCAGGGCCCCCCTCTCCGCTCTCCCCAGCTGAGTGAGAGTTGCTGAAGGAGAGGAGGAGTGGGATGGTGTGAAGTGAGGTGGGGGCTGTTTGTTGGAGAGAAACTAAAGTGAGGTGCCCGGGACAGGAAAAGTGGGAGGAGGAGGAAGGGAGGAGAGGGAGGAGGAGGAGGAGGAAGAGGAGGAGGAGGCCGTAAGATGAGAGAGGAGGGAAACGTGTCACCAGCCCGGCTGTGGGAGCTCCGCGGCCGATGCGTTTGTTGACTCGCTCTAGAGAGGAACCGAGGCTGGACGAGACCCCATCGGAGGGCAGAGCTGAGGGAGGAAGGTGGGAGGGAGGGAGGGAGGGAGAGCTGGGCAGAGCGCGACGGGGAGAACCATCCAGGTCGCTCATTTCTCCCCGGTGAGAAAACTTCCTCGGGAAGACCGGAAACTTTTTCCTAGGCGCGCGGAGTCTGGGGCGGAGGCGAGCGGCGGGTGTGCGCGACTCGGTGTGATTCACGCCGGAGATCCCAAGGAGGTGAGTGGTGGGTGGGGGGCGTCTCTGGGAGGGGCCGGAGTCATAGGCTCAGCAACCGCGCAGGATTGAGCAGCAAATTACCGCGCACTAATCTGACTGGGCGCGGCGTGGCGGGGGTCGCGGGGAGGAGCTGGGGAAAAGTGTCACATGTGGGGGGCAACCAGGTGGGAACTCCTGCACGGTTAAGGATCCTTCGATCGGACGCTGCAGGCAGGCGTAGGGGATCCTACTCGCGACCACCATGGTGGGGCGGTGGGCAGGCCACGCTGCCGGTCTGCTGTTTAGGGTGGCTGAGGTACCGCCGTGGGGTGGGATGGGGATGCTGGTGATCATGGGACCTAGGCTGAGCCGGGAGGTCGAAAAAGAAAGTCGGCTTGTTTGACTCTCTTTTTTTCGGTCTGGGGGGCAAATCTAAAGAGCTGTCCCCGCTTAAGCGCGGGTGATTTCGCGCCTGCAACAGCCTTTCCCCGGCCTTCCCCGTTTTTCTGGAAGGAGGCGTGGGAGAGAAGGGCAGGGAAGGGAGCCACTTTGTCCCGTGCGCTGCTGCACACGCGCGCTCTGCGGACTAGGGCGGGCCAGGGCCCATCCCGCGGGGACCCCGCCGGGACGGGCTGCGAGCAAGCCCTGGGACGGCCCAGCTGCGGACCCCGCGCTGGGAGGCCGCAGTATCCCCCTTCGGTTTTATTTCTCCTGCCTGCCTGCCTTACGGCGAGACTTTCCTCTGCGCGCCTACTGTGCGCGCACGGCGGGCTCGCTGCACGCAGGGGGCGCTCTGGGGGCCCCGCCCCGGCAGCTAGGACCCTGCCTGCCCAACCCTCCGGCCCATTTTCCTAGAGGCCGCCGCCCGGGGTGGGACCAGGCTGTGTGCTTGCTAACTGTGCTTCAGGAATCGGCTCTGGGATGCCTTCCTGTCTGGCAATAGGGGTTTCCCCCAGTTCTACCCAGCCCCTGTCCTCGGTCACATGCCGTCGCCGCCTCTTCCTCCGCGGTGCCGGGAGCCCGCGTTTTGTTTGTCAGCAGTTAGGCAGTGAGTATTTATAGACGCCACGGCAGTCCTGCGGTGTGCAAGGTTTCAATTACTGCGATGCGCTCCACAAGTCGAAAGGTTCACGCGCTGCGTCTGAGCTGCACGTCTGCCCCGGAGACCCGCGTGGAAAAAACTTTGGGCTGGAATCTCCGGGCTTCCCTGCTTGGGCGGAGTTCTGGACCTGTTGCCCAGACGACACGTGCACATTCAGGTGACCCACACTAAGGATCAAAGGGATGCCACCGGCCCAATGGACGCCTTCAATCCCCCACCATCTTCAAGGGACCCTTGCTGATCAAGCCCGCGAGACTATCCTTTTTGACCTCTCTTTGGTGATCCTGACCACCGGAGAAATTTGCAGTCATGACATTTCATTGCCCTACATACTGCAAAATGTCAAAGTGCTGAGCTGTGGTAAATTGCTCTGGGGTGGAAGGCGCTGTTACAACACGAAGCAGCTAGCGGGTCAGGAGGGGAAATGGAGCTTGCAGAAACTAATTTAGCCACATTTAAAATTTAGCTCCTGGTAAGGTTCCCAGTTCGACTGAGGAAGGTGCAGGGCTCCTGTCTGTGGAACCTGGCTGGTTAGTCTTCTCTGGTTGCAGCCCTAGAATCAGGATCAAGGGTGCTGTTTAGAGCGGTTTCTGTAGAATGTAGCCTTGCAGATAAGGGAAGTGATGCTTCATCAACCCCCAAAGTTGTCTTCAGTTTTTCCAACTGCAACCATTGCTCTTTGAGTATGTTACTGATGCTTCTAACAACTGGAACCATTAATATGTAAAAGAAGAAAGGCACTAGAAATAAGAAAGTCAAAAAAGGCTTAGTTTAGACTAGTTTGTTTCTCAAGGGCGGGACCTCATTTCTTTCAGGTCCAGCCCACCATGGATATATATTTATTTCTGTGGGTGAGATTTCAATAATGTTCAGTGTTTGAACATTACAATATGTGCCACTTGTTTCAAAAAGGGGAAAGGTGCAAACACCTCTTGAGGTCTTAAGATGTTTTAAACTTTGCGTTGAGAGACTTTGATAATATTATATACTCCTCATGCAAACAATGATATAGGTACTATTATATCCCTACCATATAGATGAGCCCACTGAGGCTTGGAGAATTTAAATAATTTGTCTAAGGCCATAAACACAGGGATGGAGCTGAGAATGGATTACAGATTTGTTACTCCAGACTCGTAGTCTGGAGATGTCTTTCCCTTCAATTCTCCATTGTTGATTAGCTCACATTATAGTTGATTAGATTGATGGTTTTTAATTTATTTTTAAAATTTAACAGAGTGTTACAGATTGGCTCAGTTATTGGGGAAAAAAGCCCTAATCTTGTCTTTAGAAAACTGTTACACTGATTATCTGAAAATCTCTTGCTAATAGTCCAGACCTAAATTATAATCCTCACTTTGCTCCTTGACTTAGTGTATCTTCAACATTAAAGCCATTTCTCTTTAGAGAATTGAATTCAGTAAGGACTTTGTGGATTACTTCATTTTTTTCAGATTTCTCCATGCTAATGATTTGTAGGTGTGCATGTGTCTGTTTTCCTGTGGCTGTTCCTTTCGTACAAGGTAAAATATGCTGACATCTCTCTTAAATTGCAGCCTTTTTCCCTTTCATTCTTTCTGCAGAGCTAGACCCAATACAGAATTGATTTGAAAAATAGTGTGTGAGTTCCTCTGAAAGATCCCTACAATGTCTAATGTTCGTCATTAAAGGTTTGTTCTCAAGAGTTGCCTCTCTGTATGTCAAATGTAAATACAGGTTAAAGGCAATGCTTGTAGAAATGACCGTTTGTTAGCAAGTCAGTGTGAATTCATATGTTAGTTGCTGAAATCTAGGAATAAAATATTTTGTGGATTTTGTATATAATACGGGTTTTGGAATTGGGGAACAAAGAGAGCGGTACCCCGATAAGCAGAAAGCACTGTTTTACAAGAGATTTCACATGGAGCCAAGGAGGGGGACGGATGGCAGTGATGGGGCATCAGAGGTGAACTTGAGTTAATTCACATTTTTGTCGGTACCTGGGGATCCAAGATTTACTTTGTAACTTGTACAGTTAAAGTAAATGAGCTGACTTATTTATTGGGCAACTTCTGTGAGCTAGTTATAGCTATGGTAATGGTATTTGTGCCTCCCAACAAGCCGGGCAGGAAGGTGTTATTTTCTCTATTTTCAGATGAGAAAACGGAAGCTCAGAGAGGGTTGTTACTCTCCCAGTGTCACACAGCCATGAACTCAAGCGTCTTGCTCTTTTCAGTACATTTTGATATCTACCCTTGAAGGCCTTCCATGGAGAACCCAGGGTCCCATGTTCTCAAGAAAATCCTAGTGGTTCACATGGAAGTTTCTGGATCGGAAGTTTCTGGATCAGGAGTCAAGGCTGGAGCTATTCAGGGACTGTAAAATGAGGGGACAGGAGGTGGGTGAACAATGAAGCCTGAAGGGACAGTCTGGATAATTCTTACAGTAGCGATGCCACAGAATAAGGAGAGTCACGCCCTGTAGTTATTGTGAATATAGAGAATTCTAGCATTGGCCTGGGCGAGGATGGCTGTCACACTGCAGAACACACCAGACGAGGTTCCCAGAAGAGAAGAGTGGGGAAGTGTCTCCACCTCCCTCCCGATGTCTTCTGCTGCTCGGTGTTGGCTTTATAGTCAATATAAATTAGGGAGCCTGTGGGACCTGTTTCCATTTTAATTAGACTTGGCCCTTTGAGGTTCCAGTCACCCAGTCTCCCTCTTTAAATATTCTTTTTTTATGCTTTGCCAGTTGATGGCCTTTGTAGATCAATCCTTGGATTTCATGTACGGGAGAGAGAAAGAGAAAAAAAAGCAAAGGTTAGTGATTACCTAAATTGGATTAAGTTCTGTCTAGCAGCGTTTAAAGAAATTTCACTTGCTCCCTAATTACCATCAACTAAGAATTTAAACGGTCTATTCAATTTAAGCTGACTTTTTTTTTAAACTCCCTGAAATTTCCAGCTGTAACATATTCTGAGATTTTAGAGGCTTTTATATATTCTTCAAATGTGTAGAGGACATTCTCTGCTTTCCCCCCCTTTTAAAAAATATTACATTTCTGGAGCAGGGTAATGACATCACTATATACTAACTTCATTAAAAAGCAGAAGCTCACAGCTAGGCTCTCTAGAAGGGTTTGTGGAGAGCGGTAGAAACCCGTCTGACTGTGGCCTGAGGGAAGACCTGATAAACATCTACCCCCTCCAAACAACCTGCCGTTATTATTTGTTCCATTTATTTAGCATATAATTATATGTTACATAAAATTATGTATTTACTCATGTATTGAACTCGCAAAGCTTTCATTCTTCTTTTTCTCTCTTCAATGTTGAGGTGCAAATATATTTCCCTCACCCACACATCAATATTCTGGTTTCACTTTAGTTGGTTGCCAAATGCCAGCAATACTTCCACTTTTCCGTTCTCTCCTTACTTTACCTGTTACAGAACTTTCTCCAATTTTGCTGGTTCTTTTCGACACAGGATGCGTCCCGTATTTTGTTGATGGCATCTTTGACAGCAGTTGGGTTTCCAGCAAATACTAGGATTAAGGGACTGCATTGCACTCAGCTGTTTAGGAATTGGAGTATATGTTAGCTTAAGTTGAGCCTGGAAGAATAGCTGAAAGGATTTGTTTTTGTCTTCTTCCCAGGGACAGAGGGCAGGGTAGGGGTGGGTGGGGAGGGGGAGAAAATCTACCATTGGCTCTGATGTGTGTCTATATCAGACTGAACTAGGCTGTCTAAAACCCTGTCACAACCTGCTTATGACCTCAGCCGCATAAATCCTTGGTGTAAACCCTTTTACGCTTGCCATTTAATTCTAAATACTTATTTGGAACTGGTTCAACATCTTTCCCCAGATGCCTTTGGGGAGACCATATTGACTGCTGCCGTCATTTTGGAGAACGGTTTCATCGTGCTAGCTCCTGGACATCA